ACACCTTCCCTTTCTATAATCTATCCCCCGTACTCAAAAACATCTCGAAAAAGGTTTTTCTGTTCTTTTTCCTTTTCGTTGAAATAAAAGTCGGTTGCGACTCTTGATTACCGCAATATTTGCAAACACAAACGCAAATCAGTATAACAGTCAGTTCTGCCACCGTATCACAGTTATTGAAGAGATTACTTCATTAAATGTGTTGTCACAAAAGTGAAAGGTTAGTGATTCAATATAATACAGATGTATATTAGTTAATGATATTATCTTAGGATTACAATAATAAATCCTTACGCTTTTTCCCTTTGTCATATCGGTTTCACTATTCTAGGTTTAGTAATCATTACTAAAACTACTTTTAAAATCTATCACCTCTCTTCACACACGTTCACTACTTTTGATCTACACTATCACTTCTTTTGAATCCCTAAATCTCTCAAACCCTAAGATTGCCTGTTCTTGATTGATCTTCACCAACAATGGCTTCACCAACAGTAAGAAAATCATGACCCTATCACAAAATTGGTGATTCCAATTGATCAACTTTATGTTATCTCCGAAATAATCGTAGACATTGAAAATTCGGATGCTCATGGATTTGATCTGTCTGATGTGTTGAAAACCCAAGGATGGGAAAACTACTTCAATCTCCTAAAATGACCAACCTATTCTAATCTTGTCAAAGATTTTTTGATGAATTCCTTCATCTTAGATGAACATACTATTTACTCTAAAGTCAAGGGTCATCGAATTTGCATCTGGGAAGCGGATATTGCTAAACTTCTTCAACATGACAACTCAGGTGTTTGTTGCTATAACCATAGAGCTGATATATTACTAAGAACCGAGTCTAGTTTTTCTGAGGCTATTCAAAAGGTCACACTAGTCATCTTCAAAAACGGAAAGGATTCTCAGTCAGCAAACAACATCTTTAATACCTTAAGGGTTTGGTTCATGATTCTCATTGGAAACATCTTTCAGAAAATCTCAACAATTTCTTTCAAATTTCTGGATATAGATCTCAAGTATCTTCTGTATCACTTGGAAAAAGGTCAAATGATTAACTTAATCGCATGTCTCTTTGATTATCTTCGTCACTCTATCAGCTTCTCCAAAAGGATGTCCAAGTATCAAAGAAATTGGATTCCTCATGGAAGATTGATTTCAGCATTCATGATTGATAGAAATATTACAGTTTCTGCAAATCAACAATTTGTGTCTGAAGTAGTAATTGGTAAATATTTTAACGTTGAATATCTACTAGATATGTCTTTAATTACCGAAGTAATTAAGGAACCTAAAAAGTTGAATCTGGAAGATGTTTCAAGAAGAAGAGTATTCTTTCTTCCTTTAGTTCAACAACCTAAGCTTATGTTTTTTGCCTTATCCAATGAGGAGAAAAAGGTTAAAAATAAGAGAGAACATTCTGGAAAAGAATTTCGAGGAGATTCCTCTGAAGATTAAGAAGAAATCTAAGAAAAAAAATCCACGGAAGCAAGAGCTCAGTCAAATGATATAACAGAGATAAGGGAAACAATGAATGGACTGAAGACTGTTTTAAGCAGCAGGAAGAAAATCGTCTCATCCATCAATGCTTGGATAAGCAGGAAGAAAGAAATAAAGCTCAAGCAGCTTCTATCAAGGAATTATGGTGTGGAAGAATTTCATGGAAAAGTTTGACAATAAGGATGGTGCATAGAGCCTTAGCCCTTTGTATTAGAATTTAAGAATAGTTTTTCATTTGTTTCTAAAACAATTGTATCTTTATCTTTTTGTGCTTTATTGAAAAATCATTTCACTTTGACTTTTAAAACTTTTTTATTTCTGACAAAGGGGGAGAAAGAGTATATGATTTTTATAGTACTTAATCTTAAATCTCAAACCCAAACAGGATAAAATCTTTTTACTGCTAACAATTTGTTTGATGTTTGATTCAGGAACTTTGCAAAAGTACAGTGGTTTTCATATACAGGTTATTAGGATATCAAAATATCATCATCTGTCAACTAGAAGTTCAAGATCAAGTTCAAGATCAAGATCAAGATGCATGAATAATTCTCTGATGACCTTATCATCTAAGAACATGTATTCGTTAGAAGTTGTGAACTGTCTAAAATGAATCATGACCTGACACTATGACTTGGTAAGATGTTTTTGACTAAGTTAAAGGATTGAAATAAACTCTGATATACCTATTGTTCAGAAGTAGTGAACTTCGTGAAAATAAGGTTAAATAAAGCTTTGATGCACCTACTGTTCAGAAGTTGTGAACTCTCTGAAAATAAGGTAATAGTACATTGTTACACCTATTGTTCAAAAAGTTGAACACTTTATGAAAATATGGTTAATCAAGCTCTGGCACTCCTATTGTTCAAGAAGTTATGAACTCTCTAAAATTAAGGAAACCATGTGTTGACAATACCTATTGTTCAGAAGTTATAGACTTTCTGAAAATATGGTAATCAAATTTTGTCGCTTCAGAATTTGTGAACTGTCTGGAAGCTTAACAAAGTTGATGTGTTACTTAACATTCGTTTCAGAAGTTGTGAACAATCTGAAAAGAATGTCAACGTGTACTTTGGCAATGTTTGCTCTGCTATCATGAGGTTGTTCAGAAGTTGTAAACTGTGTGAAAGTTTTGTAACCATGTTACATATTACCAGATTCTGATACTTCAGAAGTTATAAACTTTTTGGAAGTATAGTAAGTATGCTGGTAACCAAGCTGCAGTCAATGGTTGTGAGCCTTCTGAAGACATGGTTAGATGACATAGTCTAAATACATATTCAGAAGATATGATCTAAGACATGTTCGGAATACATGGTCTAAGACATGTTCGAAATACATGGTCTAAGACATGTTCGGAATACATGGTCGAAGACATGGTCTCAACACATGGTATAAGACATGGTCCAAAAGGCATGGTCTAAGATATGTTCTGAGACATGGTCAAAAGACAAGTTCGAAAGACATTGTCAGTCAGGAAAGGGTTTAGGTGTTAAACCTTCTGATGACATGATATTGTGCACCTTCTGGTGGCACGATTCTAGTTTTTGGAAGAACAAATGTATTAGTTCTGATGTTTGATGCAAGTCATCAAGACAGTTACTAAACAAGTTATGTTTCCTCATAGTGTTTTGATAGCAATCCAAGTTCTGAGATGAAGATCAGGTATTTCTAGTCAGACTATGATGAGATGTCAATGGAGAAGTATTCCTTCTCTATGTTACATTTTGTACTACAAAATTCATTTTGTGAGTCTTGGGCTCAGAGGGAGACTTTGAAAAAGCTTTAATGGAATTTTGAGTATTAACATATCCAGGGGGAGCTAGTTAGCTTTACTGAATTTGCGTTCTATGGTGATTACCATGTATGAATTGTTCTATCAAAATACATGATTTTGTCATCATCAAAAAGGAGAAGATTGTAAGAACAATATTGATTCTACACCTAACCTTATGTTTTGATTATAACTTTACATGTTATCTTTAAGAATAATTGTGTACTCTAACGATTTCTATCTAGTGTGTGACTTTTGCTATACAGGTTCTAACTCTGGTAAGAAGGTGTGTGACGTCATCAGGTTATGAACTCAACACTGTAGAAGAATACCTTTGATGTGTTACAAGTTAAGTCAAGATTAAAGAATGCCTCTTATGCAACAGTTCTAAGGAATCTTAGTAAAAGAGCTTTTGATCGTGACTTATTTAAGGAAGCTTTGAAGGCCTTTTAAAACTTTATTTCTGATGTTCCAAGTTCTGAAGATGTTGAAGACAAGGTTCTGTTGAACGAGTTCTGAAGATTTGAAGACATTCTTCTGAAGACCAAGTGCTGAAGACTGTGAAGACAAGAGTTCTCTGAACAAGTCCTATAAGTTTCCAATGACTTAGGTTTTGAAGATACATAGTTCTGATCCTTCTAGAACATGCTTCATCAACAATCATATCAGAAGTCTCTGAAGACATAGAAGAATAAGATGAAGACTAAGGAATGCGTGTGATGGTGAGTATAAAAGTACAAAAGTACTCTGTGACCCTACTCTCTAGAGTGTCGTAAGGACACATATTTTCGTATTATTTTCTATCAGTCTCACCATTACTGTTGGGAACAATATAATTGTATTTATATTTTCTATTCTACCCTCCAACGGATCTCTTCTTTTCAGCTATAAAAGAAGTACTTGGAAGAATTTGAAATCAACAAATCAGTTCTACAAAACTACACCAAACCGCTGCAAAAATTCTGTAGAGAAATTCTTTGTATAGTTTTGTAAATAAGCAATGAGCTTTTGTTCATATCTTGCTATCAACACTTTTGTGTTGCTGTACTTAAATATTGTGTGATCTGCTTGTGTAGAAACATCTCTGTATACACATCTTTATAATCAACTGTTGTTGATAGATTCTTTGAGAGACTATGTGTAGTCTGGATTCTCAAGAAGACTTTGAATGCGGTCATAATGGTTTGTAATAAGGATCAACGGACTTATTGGAGATTTCAATAGGGTTGATTAAACTTATTGTGGTTGTCTGTAATCTGGTTGAGACAAATCACCTTGTGGGGTGGATTGAAGTAACTTAGTTAACAGTGAACAAGGATAAAAATAGTTGTGTTCATCTATTTTATTCACTTGTTATCTTTGTGTTTTATGTTGCGAAAAGATTATATTTAATGCAATCCAATTCAAATTCTTCTTTCTTGTGTTCCTCGCACCTTCAAGATTGCTTATCAATTTCATTTCACTTATATTTTCCTGAGAACATTATATTAGGCATTAAAAAAAGCACCCAACAAAAAGCATCATCCGATCTAAATCAACAAATCTATGTCTCATACTGTTTGTATTAGAACTTGAGAGTCATAAAGTGAATGAACAATGACCCCATTAATTCTATGGTAATTTTAATTAGCTTGTAGAAGAGTCTTATAGCCAATCATGTATTGAACTACAAATAATACAAGAGAAAGAAAACCATAATAATAAGTGTATAATCAATCAATCAATCAGTTGAATTCTCATCATTATCTCTAAGATGCTCTTTCAATGGTTGTCCTAAAGTTTCCCAATTTTTAGTATCCCATGCTGGATCAATTTCAGGCAGTTCATAGTCATCTGGATGTAATGATAATTGAAATTCAGGTAGGTCTGGCAATGCTTGGAGACCCCTGCATCATTAACAAAATTCTAAGTTTTGCATACAAATTATATTTCAATGAAATAATTAAGGTACTTGGTTGGAACATAAACATAAAAGAGATACTTACTTTTCTTGCTCTAAAAGGTATCCATACATTTGGTACTTCTTTGATGCAACTTCAGGAATTTTCAGATGTAGAAGTTTCATAACACCCCATGGCGGAGGAGCCCTTCATAAATAGTTGTATACATAAAAGTTTATTTATTTCTACAGCAATTTAGTTGAAGTTCAGCTTTAAGTAAATGACAAACCTTGTAACTGGAGCTGCAAGACAAAAGCTCAAACATGCCTTTTTGCTCTCTGCGAGAAGTTCATCTGCGGCAAGAAAACAAGACACGGCGACAATGTGACAGCTCGGTTCGTTACCCTTGTCGAGAATCAGACCATGGTAGTAGTATGCTGCAGCCTGCCAACATGATTAAGAAATGTGATCAGAATTGGATCATTTATATTATTGGATATCCCCAAAGTTTATTTTTTGGTGGAAAGTACTTAAACAATGTTGATAGCATTACTAACCTTGGATTCAAGGAATTTCCATTTGATGAACCTGAGATGCTTCTTTCCATGTCCTTGGTTGAAGTCACATCCTGATAAGCAGTGATACGCCTGCTCATAAAAAAAGTGAGAAACACTTCTATCATATAGCCGTTTCAAGTTTTTTGAGACCCTGTATAGGCTAGCTACATTTTAACCAATGCAAAACAATTAGAGGGGCATCATTTAACCACGTTTTAACAATGAGAGAGATTTATGAGGCCCTATTTAAAAACAGTTTAAACGTGACACATTTTAGGTTCTGTGCGGTAGGCTGCCTTGCATCCCTTCGAAAACTGCCCTGGCTTCTATATTCTATATTGGAGAAATAACATGGTGAAGTGGTGCTCAAAGGATTGAAATAAAGACCTGAGTAAAGTAAATGAGCTGTTCACATGCCAACCTCCTCTTCACAGACAAAGTAGCTTTTTGACTCTCCACAGCAAGACCAAGCTGAATCTCAGTTCCCTAAAAACTTATCAAGATAAGCTATTATTCCTAATCTAGAAGAATGAAATGCTACCATAAGTAAATCTAGAGATTGATGATCAACAAGTACCTGGCCTAGTGCTTGAATAGCTATAGCCTCCAATACACCCTCCTGCAAATCATGTGGCAAAACTTTCCTGCATATTGTTTCAACCTTAAAGTTAATTCCTTAATAGGGTGTTCAATTTTGTAGTTCCAAACATAAAGTTTGCGCGACATACCTGGTTTCAAATGGTATTTGAGGAAGAATTTGCCTAACACAGAACTCCAAGTATCCTGATGCTTTGATTAACAAATCAACCGCTTCCCTCTTGCTATCTGATATTACAAAAATGCACAATCAACGAAGGATTCATAGTGAGTTTACCAGAATCACGGTGATAGAGTGATTTTAGCAGAAACTACGTCTTGTAGTTTCAACAAAATTACAATGCCACCGTGATATCATGGTTCCAAACATGCACTTTGAAGTTTAAAAAGCTTATGAATTAGCACAAAACCTGACGACACAACCCTGAATCCAGAGTCTGAATGGTCTTTCGGGATCAACAATGAATCAGCCTCAGATAGTGTCAGCATAGCCATAAAATGAACAGAAGATAACACCTCAAACCACACATTTGCTATGCTACTATCCTGCTAAACCAGACATTAACATGTTTAACAAAAACTCCAAAACCAATGACGAAAAATGAAAAATTATGAATGATATTACAATTTACAAGTAATCATACTTGTCTTCCATCTTCAAAGTTTTTCCACTTGAATTCCATTAGTCCCTCAAGACCATACTCTACAACATACAAAAAATTATAACTCATTTGATAAATAAAAAAAAAGTTCATAGAGAAAATAAATTATTTATTTTATTTGGAGAAATTTATGAACCTTTCTTAGTAAGTCCAATGAGAACTGACAAATATTCATTCAAAGCTCGCCGCAATTCAGCTATAGCCGATCCATCTGCACCATTAAATATGCAAAATTTCAAACAATCAAAACATCTTAAATTAGTTTTTACAATCAAACAAACTATCATAGAATTCATATGAACAAACCAGTATCTTCTGCTACCAACACAATCTGGTTCCTTAGCGAAGACAATTTATCAGCAAGATCCTTTGGAATCAATCCTTTGAGTGATCTTTGAAGATCAGATTGCACTGGTATTCTGATTGATGGAGTTAAAACAACTACTTCATGAATGGTTGATTTTTTCTTCTTATACATAGAGTGAGTGCACCCCATTTTTTCAGCTGATGAGGAATATTTTCAAGCATAACATCCTAGGAAAATTCATCATCCATTTTCACAACTTAGTGAGCATTGATTAGTTGTGTATGACAGAAAGGATAGTTAATATGGCAGATTCAAATGTGTATGATTCATTAAGATATATTAAAAGTTAATAAAATGCAAATAAATACACACACATGCACATACACAAGTTGAGAATAAAAGGAATAATAATAATAAAAAAAGGACAGGGTTTGGAATAATTAACTTACTGGATACAGAGAGGAAGAGAGAAGAAGGTGATGAGTATCTGACTATATGAATCTGAAGCTCAAAAAACGAGACATATCTCACATGGTCATGGCGTAGAACTCTCTGCTTCGTTGCAAGAAGCACGTTCAATTCTTCTATTTTGTTTCCTTGAAGGACGTGCTGTGGACTAAGTTTATATTTTAATATTTTGTTGTGTTCATAAACATACATTCATTGAGGAGTCAATAGTATTAAGATTTCTTATGGGCCGACAAAAGGCCCAATAAGAGAAAGACCTAGTCATCACTTATAAACCATTTGCCATAAAGATGAATGTGTAGTCCAATTATGTTGTAGAGTCTCACACTTGATCCAGGCCATGGATCATCGACTACCGTTGGATATCATCTTAGAGTCTCCCATATTCTAAGCCATGAAGCATGGGATACCTTAGTCAACTTCATAGATAAGGTGTCTCACATGAAAGAAAATGTATAATTTAAACACATTATCACTCTTACATTACTTCTTATTATCTCACTGACTTGGGCTTTGGAGCGTTAACCTTGCAGATCAACCCCCTTTTTGTCGTATCGGAGGTTTGCTCCATCGATTCAAGATCTTATCTCACCATCTCACCGGCTATTTTTGGTTTCTAAGCGGACCAGTGATGCCATTTATGGGATGCTCACACCTAGGCCGTGTTTACGGACGATCATTCAATAGTCAGGGAAACAGAGTTGGTCTCATTTTTGAGAATGAAGTTGAATTGGTGATTGAAGTATCCTTACATTTTAAATTCCCTACCACCAACAATCAGGCCAAATACTAAGGTTTCATTGTCAGTCTCATATGGATCGCCGGGATGGGGGAAAACATTAGATTACGAAATGATGCTCAACTCGTGGTATCACAAATCAAAAGGGAGACTCAAACCAAAGGCTCATTATTATAGCAATATGTCACATTGACTAGAGAAAGACAAGAAAAGTTTAAAATCTTATAAATCTTGCACGTCCCGAGGGAGCATAACACTAGAGCATACGTCCTTTCCAAACTTATTAGTGTAACACCCTTCTAAATCCCACGAATATTATGAATAATAAATCATAGTAAAGCACCAAAAAGAGTGTCATATCTTCATATAAAACATCATACATGTGTATAGTCCATAATACGAGTTTTCAAAAATTAAAACATTTATCTCTTGATAATATTATCATGAAACTTCAAGACATCGTAGCGAAAATATTATCTCAAAACATCTTTAATAAATACTTCAAATAAAATACCATCACACATCATAATTGATAAGTTAAACTTCAAAACATCTTAAAACAGAATAAAGCATCTCAACACGTAGCAAAAAACATATAGTTTGGTTCAAACGATACCAAAGACCCCGATGTTACATATCAGAGCAAGACCTTATAAAATCAACAGAAATAAACAACACACTCCAAAACTATCCTCTAAGCTTCGATAAACTATTCCTGATCACCTGCAAGTTACCCATGTATAGAGGCAGCATTTCCAAGCAGAAAGAGTGAGTAATCAAAAACTATTATAAAAGATATATGAAATAGATATAGCAGTACAACAACAAATCATCATGGATTCCACATATCATCATATTTCATATTTTGTACTTACACCTTTGCAAAATTATATGAATCAATTATATCATTACATTAATAATAATCGTCAAGCATCACAAAATCACAAAGTCATCAACATCACTTAACCAATCATTAATCAATGTCACATATAATACAATGCAACGTCATTGACTCATGCATGTGGTACCAAAGCTTCACTAATGACTCAATCATCACTCCTCCAAAGATCCCCACCAATAAGATCGATTCTCGCTTGGAACGAGAGCATATTATTAATATTAAACTTAATCCACAATATGGTTTTGAGGCTATTACTGGAACAATATCCTATCACCATCACTGGACCAATCATCCTAATAACATCACTGGACCAAAGTCCTAGCATATGCCATAAATGCATGATGTGTAACGACATAATAAAACATGATCACTTCTAGTCAAAATGCATCATTCATTCATGTAATTATCATAATATCATCATATACATCATATATACATGGTATTATCACAACATCATCATATTATCATAGCAACAACATAGTATCATCATAGTATCAACAATTCATCATACAACACACATCATTGTAATCCATCACATAGAAGTATAATTTCATCATAGAATAGTTACTAGAAAGATTCATTATTTTACTCATTTTATTCCATCTGACTATAATTCATCGTGTTAACTACCCAACGCTTCGAACAGCGTATCAAACGGATTCCGGGAACTTAAGTTACGACACTTTAAAGATTCTGCCATCTACTTCTCGCCCGAGGCTCGCCCAACGAAGCAACTTGCTCGTCTGAGGCTCGCCCGGCGAGGTTGGGGAGAAAAGTCTTTCCCCATACAAAATTTCATGAGCTTGCTTTTCTTCTTCTTCCTTCACCCGATTACTCTAATCGCTCGCCTAGCGAGATCACTCTCGCCTCCCATTCGCCGGACGAAGCTGGGGCTAGCCACCCCCTCCATATGAAAATCCAGGGGCTATGTTTCCCTTCCACCTTTTTCTTTCGCTTCTCTCTCACCAGGAACATCAGGGGCAAAGAACCTTCGCCCAACGAAGCATCTTGCTCACCCAGCGAGTCAGGCGTGACAACAACCTCCTATTGCATTTTCTGCACAGTTCAGTCTCAATTTTGCTTGAGATTTCACCACATAACAGACCCAAAATTTACATAGTTCACCAGGGTTTCACCACATCATAAAAACACATCATAATAAGCTTCATATACATCATTTCACAATATTACAACATCAATTTATCACCAAAATCAACACAATCATCATGCTATCAAATTCATCATAGAAACCCCAAACAACCTACATACACCTAAACCATATATCAATCATAATAATAACGATAACCCCCTTACCTTAGATTATAGCTTTGATCTTCTTCTTTGTGTACTACCAAAAATCCCTTTGTTCTCTTCCTGCCCTAGCTCTGCTGTGTTCTTCCAACTCTTTCACAATTGCACAGAATGACACACTTTTCCCTTTATTCTTTGTTTAACCCTTTGACCGTTTATATGGTCTTCTCATCTTACACTCACTAATCACTTCACCAATTACTGTATTATCCTTATTAGTTTTACACCACATATTATATAATTTTACTAATTAAAATAATTATCTAAAATTATCTAAACCACTCAATATCACTTAACTCCCATTATGCCCCACACAACATCACATCACACATCATATTTATCAAACATCACATATACTCACAAATACATCACAAATACTCATCAAAATTAATTAAATAATTTAATAATTTTTGGGTGTTACAACTCTCCCCCACTTAAAAGAATTCATTCCCTCGAAAATTACCTGGTGGCATTACAACAAAAAATCGTTGTAACGTCGGACTCGAAATGCATTTTACCTCGCCAACCAAGGCGAGGTTAGTAAGGTCATCATGAAAAGTCTCCACTTAGCACCTCAGTGTTTTAAAAACCAAGGTTAAAATTGAAAAGGTCATGTGTTCGATCCCTAGGAACTATATATATATATATATATATATTTTATTTTCTATATTCTGTTGCGCGCTTCATATAGCTATCGATTTTGTTTATATTCTAAGGTAATAAGGTATTAATTTACCTCGATTTTAGATGAAAACTGAAGGGTTTAATATGAAGATTTTTGGCTATATTTATCAATTTCATTGCCCCCCCTGTACCGTTTTTTACTTGTATCGTTTTTCATAGCTTGTATCATATTATTATAATAAATCTATTAGCCTGCCAGTATTATTTTTTTACACAAAAACTACAAAATATGTAACAAAATATCATATATCATTTCAATCCAAGTGTGCAAGTTAACATTGTTCTCATCAAGATAAAATAAGAAAAACCTCTGTTCATATACAAAATAATAAGCAACCAACATAAACTATTATTCTTGTTCTCGAGCTTCATAATGAGATAAGAAGACATTGTCCCAACGTGATCGGATGTCATCAACTTCCTCTATTGAATATGGTTTTTGTTTGCTAAGCTCTTACAATTAGAACAAAATTTAAACTATGATTATCTAAAAACAAAAAATTAGTTTAAGAAGTATACATAATATGGATTAAGCTAACACCTTATTCTTCATCCATCCTTGTGTAATGTCGTCGGAGACAATATGGAGCATATATTTCATAACATAATATCCACAAGAATGGTCGTCGGTTTGATTTCGCCACAAAAAATATAACACATTTATTAATGTCATACTAATGCACGCAATTAATATAATGTCAAATAGCATAATTACTATACTTACTCTTGGGTAATAAAAGTTTAGCTTTTTGCCCATAAGATTTCTTCTTTGCACATTATATTCCTCCATCTCTCTACACGTGTAGGATAAAATTAAACATGAATAAAAACTATTTAATTCTAAATTTAAATTTGAGTATAATAAATAATACAACTTACCCACTCAAAGTATTGATCACAACATCGGGTAGTGTCGAGTGTACCAGGCAAAACACAAATATACTATTTATCTTGGAACATATGACAAGTAGTTGCCAATGTCGGTTGCATAAACATTCATAATAAGTAATAATATGGATAAAAATTATTTATAAAAGAAAAAACAAATTAATATATACTTACTCGCGGTAAAATGGTGCCACATAAAAATATTTGATTCTCCCTCTCCCTATTAACTTATCTTGTAAGTAAATTCTGACTTCGTTACCTGGAGAATTGCGAGTAAGAGCAATCTTTGCAGCATGTAAGATACAATACTTATTTAGAAGATTCCTTTATGAATAGAACTCATATATGTATCTGCAAGGTCAAATATTCATGTTAAAGTACAAGAATGTATGTATATAAATAGAAATCAACATAAAACTATACTTATGATGACCAAATTTGCAATATGGACTCGTCTAGTTCCTCATCTCCCTTCAAAAATTCATGTAAAGAAGTCTTGTTAAGAAACACCGATTGTTGTGGATCATGACTAAATTTAATACCCATAGTAGTAAGTTCAATACTCGACAACATCATCTGCAGTCTCTAAAGGCTATCTTGATTTGGTGGTAAGGGTTCAACACTGCCCTGGTTGGCAGAAAAACTACGTGTCGCGCTTATACCACTCAT